GAAGGCTGTATACACAATAAATAAATAAATAAAATATTTTAAAATAAAAAAAAGTGGCTACCAGATCTTTGGAAGTATAATTACAGATGGTTCTGAGTCACTATGTTAGTACTGGGGACCAAACCAGGGTCTTCTGCAATAGCAACAAGTACTTGTGACCACTGAGTTATCTTTCTAGCCTCTCCATCTCTTGAAAAATTCTCATAGCACTATCTGTTCTTGCCCTTTTCTATCTTAGGCATCTTTTATGGAATGATTTTTTTCATTTATTTTTAATAATCTCTAGGTTCTGTTTTCATAGCTGGTAAGCACAGTTCTTTCATGGTTTATGTAATGATTTTAGTGCATGCATTTACAAGTTTTAAATGTATGTAGGAAAATTTTGTGCTTCTTTTTTTTCCTATTACAATGTTATTTGACTTTTTTCTCCGTTGTTATCTGCCATAATGGACTGACACTTCTGAAAGGTTCTCTTCCACACACTCCCAACTGCCAGTGTTCAGCCTTAGTGCATGGGCAGTAACGTGAACTCTGAGATGGGTCATTTGAGAGTAAAGTTCCAAGGCCTGGGCAGTAGAGGAGAAAAGCAGCGGACTGTTGTGTGAATCTCTGGGTTCACTAGTTGTCAAGAAAAATTCATGAGACATAACCTCTATACTTCTTTGGAGCCTAGAATCCATATTTAGTTGCTTGAGTGACTTTAGGGTCATTTCTCTTAATATTTAATCTACTATGTGGATGTAAGAAATGAAAAAAAGTACCCAAATCTTCAGCATGCAAGGGAGGACATAAATTGGGCGGAGTGCAGGACTGTGTCCATGGGCCTCATTTGAGGAAGGGTAGTACTGCCTCCCAGAGGACGTCCCAGTCAAGTGCAATCAACTTGTATTGCTTACAGCATGGAGTCAGCTTTCTTTCCACTGAAGTCAGGTAAAAATTAACAGTTGCTGGCAAAAATAAATAAATAAATAAAAATTTAAAAAAGGAAGAGGAGGAGAAAGGTAGACAAAGATTCAAAACTCAAATAATTTCTCTTGTAAGATGGCTCATGCCCGACAACCTCAGTTAGATCCCTGAACCCACAGTAGGAGAAAGGCTGACTCCTGCATGTTGTCTCCCTCTACAATACGCCATGCCATGCTCCCACATTCACACACATGTGCTGTTCATAACAAACGCTTACCAATAAAAAGGTTTTTTCCTCTCTGCAGTTTTGGAACATTAAACTCTAGAGCTTGCTATGCTAGTGCTGTTTACTGAGCCACAACCTCAGCCTCTGCCCCGCTCTCCCCTTTCTGTGGCACTGGGAGATTAAACCTCTGAGCTTCATGTAGGCTAGGCTCGTGTTCTAACACTGAGCTTCCTAAACCTCCAACACTGTTTTCAAAAGTTTTTACTTTGAGATGGTTTCTGTAAGTTACCCAAACTATTCTTAAATACATTTTGTAACCCAGTCTCTCAGTAGCTGGGATTTCAGGTCTGCCTCTTGGGGTGGGGGTGACACACATGGCATGACACTCAGTCTTTGCTTTTCTTTTTGATATAGTGTCTTACTATGTAGTTCATACTAGTCTTGAAATGTCCATCTACCTACCTCAGCTGCCCCCATGCTGGGATTACACTTTGGATCACTACTGTTGGGCAGGGAAGTAAACAAAAGCTTTTTAGTCAAAGCTGGAGAGATGGCTCAACTGTTAAGAGCACTTGTTACAGAGTACCTACCTTTGGTTCCCAGAAGCTACAAGGTGGCTCACAACCATCTGTATCTCCAGTTCCAAGGATCCACTGCTCTTTTCTGATCTCTAAGGGCACCAGGCATGCTATGCATTGGTACATAGACACACATGTAGGCAACCCACTCATACACACACACACACACACACACACACACACACACACACACACACACACACAAAGAAAGAAAGTAAGAAAGAAAACTAACTAACTACTAAATAAATAAAATGTGGCTGGGTAGTGGTGGCACATACCTTTAATCCCAGCACTTGGACAGTCAGATCTCTGTGAGTTCAAGTCCAGCCTGGTCTACAGATCGAGTTCCAGGGCAGGCTTCAAAGCTATGACAGCCTGTCTCAAAAAACTAACTAACTAACTAACTAACTAACAAACAAACAAACAAACAAACAAACAAACAAACAAATAAATAAATAAATAAATGTAGGCCATTTGGCCTCAGTCTGTTTATTTTTTATATTAACTGAATTTTCTTGAGCTTTAGAATGAGTAGGGGTTCAGATAAGCTTCAATTTAGTTTTCTTTTGCAGTTTTTAGTAAGTTTTAAAATATGATAGCTTTTTCTGAAAGATCCCTTGACTCCAATTTTTCCTAATTTTCATCTGACCATCTTCTCTCTATTTCCAATGTTCCTCCCATGACATTTACTTTATTCTGTGACAACATTCACTTTACTCTCAGCTGTTTCTCCTTAGGGTGTACTGTGTCCCATGATGGTTACTTGGTAGGTCAGGTTTGAGTGTACATGTGGGTTACTGCTTATTCTTCTGATGACTCTTCACTCAGTCTTAAAAAGAATACACCCTCTCCTCCCAGTTTTTTGTTTTTTTTTTGTTTTTGGTTTTTACGAGACAGGGTTTCTCTGTATTGTTTCGGAGGCTGTCGGTCCAGCCCAGCCTCGAACTCACAGAGATCCGTCTCCTCCCAGTTTTAAAGACTGTTATTTAATTGGCTAGCATAGTCTTTTTTGAAACTAACAGGGTAAGTTTATGGAGCTCTGTTCAAAAGTTCATCAGTTGTTTCTTCCGCTTTGTCTTCTAACCCTGCCTTGAGTCTATTGGTCCTTTGCCACCATCTAGTAGTATTTTGAACCAGTAACATGGGGATACTGTATCACATGGCTTGTTATAATTGTTTTATGGACTTTAAACTTTGTTATCTAGTTTCCCTTTTTATTTTCATGTGAGGATTCAAAGACTGTGTTGATAACAATCCTCTCTCTGGTCCCCAAACCTATTCCTCTCCATTCTGTCCCTCTAGGTACTCTCCTGCTCACCCTGTCACCCACACAGCAGGCCAAAGGTCAACTCTGGAGTTTTCCTTAATTCACTTTATTTTTTGAGACAGGATCTCTCAGTGAACCTGAAGCTCACTAATTCAGTGGGACTAGCTGGCCAACGAGTCCTTAGGACCCACCTGTCCCTGCTCTCCAGTGCTGGTGTTACAGTACCCTATGCCACCCCCAGCTTTTAGTGGGTTCTGGGAATCCCAACTTTGATCCTTCTTTCTTAGTCGCCCTTTTTTGATCTCTTTTTAATAAAATATTTGTGGATGGCATTACCTTGATACACCTAGCCTTTATATACGTGTGTGTGTGTGTGTGTGTGTGTGTGTGTGTGTGTGTGTGTTTTGCCTTCACGTATGTCTATGTATAATGCTCTGCAACTGGAGTTACAAACAATTGTGGGCGCCAGAATCAAGCCAAGGTCCTTTTAATTACCGAGCCATCTCTCAGTCCCTTATTTATTTATTTGTTTGTTTGTTTGTCTGTTTAGAGTTAGGGTCTCACTATGTAACTCTGGCTGGCCTCAAACTCAGAAATCTGCAAGCCTCTGCCTCCAGAGTGCTGGGATTAAAGATACCATGCCATGTTGGTGCACCAGGCTTTACAGTGTAATTTTAAAGCAGTCCTTACTTTCAATTTCAATCTATCTTGCTGTCCATGTCATAATGTTGCTTTTAGTGAGTTTTGTTTTTGCAACAATATTCCTCAGTATAGAGAATCCAAGATATTTTATTGTTTTGTTTTGTTTTTTCGGTTTTTCGAGATAGGGTTTCTCTGTGGCTTTGGAGGCTGTCCAGGAACTCACTCTGTAGACCAGGCTGGCCTCAAACTCACAGAGATTCACCTGCCTCTGCCTCTCAAGAGCTGAGATTAAAGGCGTGCGCTACCAACGCCTGGCTCAGTCAAGCTTTAATAAATAATATATTACTACATATGCCAAGTTTCATGAGAACTTATTAAAAAATACCTTTCCAGAGACTAGACTTCATCATTATCCTTCCAAGTACCTTAACAAACAAAACAAAAACCCATATAATTGATAGCTCTTAGTACTAACACAGTGCTACTTATCACAAATAATTCAATTAGCTATACAAGTTTCAAAAACGAGTTCTTTTTTTCTGTAAACCAAAGTCGTTATCAAAGTCATTCAATGTGACATACTAAATTATCATTCTACGTCTAGCTCACCTATTAGAACACTTGTTTTCTCTCCTCTGCTATTTAAACATGCAAATATATTCCAATACATAGATATACAAATACACACGTTTAGAACTCACATAATCGCTGTTGTGGGGTCATTACACAACAACTATTAGTAATAATGTTTCGAGCTTTTTCTGCCACATCAAAGCCGCTAAGCACCATGCACCCCACCTCCCCATCCCTGCGATCCATCTAAACGTTTTGTTCGTTTAGACAAAAGGGGGGTCGGCACTGTTTGGGAGCTAACAAGAGTATCAAAAGGTATCACAAATACGAGTCACAGGCTACATCAATCGGTTCGGGCGTCGGGGTTAGAGGCAGCTCTTTACGCTGGAATACTAGGCGATTCCACCGCAGGGACGTTTGTTAGTGCTTGTACACAGGTCTGGTGCTTTGCGTGGGGCGAGAGACCCGGGGAAGCATCCCACTCAGCCTTGCAGCCTAAGGCGAAGCCAGTTGCAGCTCCCAGGAGGACAGAGGGCTCACTAAAAGCCTCCTCACTAAGGGCTCCTTTGGAAGTCGCGGAAAGCTCTCCCAGGTGGAGCTCAGACCTGCCGTAAGCAGCTGGCGCGGCCACAATGACCAAACCTGCCTCTACCCGGTGCGGCTCACCGGGAGGCCGCCAAGCCTCTGTCCTCCGCATCTTCTCCTGTCCCGCTGCTGACCAGCACCGCTGGCAGCTGGAAGGCCCGGGTCCCACAGCGCAGAGAGGGCCGCGGGCCCGCCTTTTGCGCCGCGGCCTGTGCTCACCCACCTGATGCTCCTTCACCACTTCGCTGAGGCAGGGATACCGCTCCGAGATCCATCGGTAAAACTTGGGGACTCCCATTTTGACCGTCGACACTAATTCCAGTCGGTGCAGAAACGAAACCAAACGCCCCGCCCGGGCCTACGCCACCACCTCAGGCCGTCGCTCGGAGGATGACAACACAAGGTCCGCCAGACCATAGAGCAAGCCGCAGGCCTAGAGGGGCAGGACGGTGCCGGTGGGCGGGGCGTCCTGCCTACCTCGCTGCCTTTCCGAACTCGTTGGTGGCGGCGCTAGAAGCGTGATTGCAGTTGTCAGCTCAGTTTTGAAAATGCCAATTAGTAGAGGTGTGGACTTGCCGATGGTAGGAAAAAAGTTAAAGGACAGTAGGGTGAATGGATTGGTTAGTTTTATGCAACTTGACACATGGCGGAGTCATTGGGAAGAGGAACCTCTGAGAGAAATGCTGCCTCCAGATTGGCCTTTGGGAATATTTTTGATTAATGATCGATGTGGAGGGCCCAGGTCGTTGTGGCCTGGTAACGTCCCTGGGCAGGTGGTCCTGGGGTGTATGAGAAAGCCAACTGAGTGAACAAGCCCGAAAGCAGCATTCCTTCGTGGCTGCCGAAAGTTACTTTGATGTTGAGATGTGGAAGCATAAGCCAAGTAAACCCTTTCCTTCCCAAGTTGCTTTTGGCCACGACGTTTATCACAGCAATAGAAACCCTAAGAGATGGTATTGGATAGTGGATTTTGTGCTGCGGGCCCGTCCTCCTGGGATCGCTAAACTATTTTCCAACACGAACTGGAAGAGATCTGGTTCGTTTGTGAGGAGAGTTATTATTTTCTGAGTAATGTAAATCTACATTGGAATTTCTTTTAAAGAGTAATTTTCCAGCGTTTCGAGACTGGGGTTTACTCCCCTCACCTCAATTTTTGATACTGTTTCAAAACAAACCCATAAAACCCCCCAAAACGTGGTGTGGCCTTACACACCTATAAATCCCAGCATTTAGGAGGCATAGGAGCATCGTTTAAGGCCATAGCAAGTTCAGGGAGATGCTGGACAATATGAAAGCCTATCCCAAACCAAAACTCAGAAAGCCTGGTGTGGTATGCAAGTCTTAATCTCAGAACTTGAAGGATGAAGGCAGGAGGGTCAGTCAGGAGTTCAAGGTCATCTCATCAACACAAGTTTCAGACTAGTCTGACCTACAAGAGAATTTGCATCAACTAAACAGGACAAAAGCCACCATGAACATCTCTGTACAGGTCTCTATCATCATGTGCCTTTCATTAGTTTTATCGCATTCTTTCCTTTGGTACTGCCTGTCTTCCATGATTGGGATTTGGACAGCATCCATCTTTAGTCAAGAACCTTCCATTTATGTAACTTCAGTCTCCATGCAAGGACTATATAGAGTAGACTCATTCTCGTGCACTCTCTTCTTAATGTGTACAAACTCACACACTAAAACTGTTATATTGTTTTGTTGAGCCTATGTAGACCAGATTAGTCTCAAACTCAGAGATCCACTTGCCTCTAACACCCAAGTACTGAGATCAAAGGTGTGCACCACTACATCCAGTTTGTTTTAAAATGTCTCCAAATCTCATGGTTTTTAAAATTAGGTTAGATTTGTAAAAGAAAAATGTTATTTTGCTTTGGGGAAATGAAAACCAGTTTGAATTATTTAGATTTAAAGCACTAAATACTGAAAATGATTCTTAAGAAGAATGACGTTGTATATCACTTTTATGAAAATGGATGGAGATAATTATATTTCATGAATTAAGTCAGTGTCAGAAGGATAACATTTTCTTTCATTTACGGCTCCTAGATTTTATATAGCTACTCAAAATCATATAAGTATATTAATGATAGTCAATGCTATAGGAAAACAATGTATTTATTTACGAGAGAGAGAGAGAGAGAGAGAGAGAGAGAGAGAGAGAGAGAGAGAGAGAGAGAGAGAGAGAGAGAGAGAGAAAGTGAGAGTCGTACACCAGGAGTTAGAAGCGTGGCTGGCTTCCAGGAGAAAAGGGAGGTTCCTTTTTCTTTCACTTCCTTTTATATCTACCTGTGTCAGTTTACATGTCCCCGCCCTCATGGACGGATAGCTTTGTGGGGTTCACTCCTACAATTCCCCTTTTAGTCTAAATAGAAGATTTAAATTTGATACAAACTCAAACATATACAACATATATACATAGAGGGTGATAATAATCTACTTATCCTAAGCTAAACATATCCATTCTGGGCGGATAGCTTTGTGGGGTTCACTCCTACATAAGTATATGTGACATGAAAGCAGAAACAACACTGTTGAGGGGAATAAACGGGATTGAGGCAGAGAACAGCAGGAAGAATGGAAGGAAGTTTTCAATATACATTATATATTTGTATGAAATGATTCTTATACTATATATAACAAATATACATCAGTACAAATTACCTAATTAAACATGTCTATATGAACAAACCACCAAAATCAAATTAAAATGGCTAAAAAGCACACACATGCCCCCACCCACCCACAGAGTATTGAAATTACCCTGTCCTTAACTGTCAGTATCAAGTTCTGGGTAGTAAATTGTATGTTCAGTTTTCACATTCATACCTTCTGGCTTATTATGTTTTACTTCATTATAATTTTACCCACAGGGGGAAAAAAGCAGAGTTCTATTTGGCAATTTTCCATATATATGTAATAAATGTATTATTTTGCAATTCTTTTCATTTTAATATATAAGAAAATGTACAGAAAAAACCCAAATACATTCAAAAGTTTAGATTTTAAAACCTTACAGAATTTTAAGTGTTGTGTTTTCTATGACCATTGTACTGCGTATTGTGGCACACTAACACACTAACAGCATGGTAGTGTTTTTAAAATTACAGAATGTTGGGGTTGAGCTGCGGCTGAATGGTAGAACATATATCCCTAGCATGGTTCAATCTTCTGTACTGTATCACCAAAATAAATAAATGAGTAACTACAAAATTCACATTCATGTTTCTTCAGTTTCTCTCCCATGATCACTTTTCATGTATATTACAGAGCTTTATGGAGTGAATTTAATGATGTGCTATATTCCCTAAGGGCAGAAGAGGTATCTCTGTGTACAGGTCCAGTCCAGTTCCTGCCCACAACTAAAGTCAATATAACTTTGTTGCTGTTCAAATGAAAGGAAACCTTATGCTAACACTTTGAAAAAGAAATTGATAAAAAATACAAAATGAAATTAGGTTGGCTGATTCCTTGTTTTTTGATCATCAGAATATTCTATTTCTCGATTTGGAATATGCAAGTATGCACTAAGAAAGCAGTGTTTAAGAATTGAATGCATTTCTCTGTGAGTTCAAGGCCAGCCTGGTCTACAAAGCAAGTTCCAGGACAGCTAGGGATACACAAAGAAACTCTGGCTTGAAAAAACACACACACAAAAAGAATGGAATTCATTATTTTAAATACAATCAAATACAGTCTTTGAAATAATTTTATTTTACATATATGGGGTCCAACCAAGGTACATCTGACATAGTAAGTTTTCATCAGTAGCTTCTTGTATGAGGTAATGCACATGTCCTTCAATAGATAATGGCAACCCTGTTACTCTATTTCGGGTTTTGATTACACCTTGTAGTCGTTGTTCAATGTCAAGAACATGGGTCTTGGCCTAAAAAGATATAAAAAGTCGTTACAGCTACAGACCGAATAACAGGTAATGCTGGTAATTTGGAGTTTCTACTTTTTTCACTACTTCATTAATGTTAGTGCTGTTTTATTAAACAATATCCCATTTGTAGCAATAAAACAAATCCAGTTAAATTGAGATGCTGATTTTGATGTTTACAATGGCTAACATCTACTAATGGGCCATGTTTCTGTAAAACACCAGGTAACTCTACACATCCCAATTCCAGAAAGGTAATACTTTAAAATATCTGTTTTGAGGGCTAGGTGGTAGCTGGCTGGTGGAATGCATGTTTGTTTAGTAGACAAGAGACCAAGTTCTATTCCTTTCCACTATCAGAAACAAAATAAAGCAAACAAAAGGCAACCTATTTTGAAATGTTAGTTCTTAAGTATTTCAGTGAAGATTCTAATGAATTTGATGGCTGATAAATTTACATTAGTGCATGCAAATGGAATTTTAAGTAAACTATTTAGAATTCTTTACAGCTTCTTACAAAAAAGCACACCAGAAGCAAAATTGAGAATGATGTTATTAGAAAAATAATTTTCAGAATGAGGATGAAGCCTGGTGGTGTTGAAATTAATTAGTGCATGTACTTAGCAGACACAAGGCCTTGGGTTGAATTCAGCATCAAAGTGAAGGGTGGAGGAGAAAAAGACTCCTCAGTGTATTTTTGTCCACTTGGAGGTTGTAACTAATTTTAGATTTCAGAGTAATCAATTGCTGTGGAAAATCCTTTTGAACACTGAAGATTTGTCACTGTAATTGGTTTAGCCACTAGCTCAACAGGATATAGGTGGGAAAGCCAAACTAAGAATGATGTGATAAAGAATGGAAGATTCAGGGGAGTTGCCAGAGGGAGCAGGGGATGAACGTGCCATGCTAATAAAAGGAACTGCCACAGGGCAGAGCATAAACAAGGAATATGATTAACTTAAATGTAAGAGGTAGCTAGTAACAAGCCTGAGCTATTAGCTAAGCATTATAATTCATATCCAGCCTCTGAGTTGGTTATTTGGGACAGGCCAGTCAGGACAGGAAATGTCCATTTACTATCAATATTTAAGTTGCCAACAGTAATATTTGGAATCAGATATCATCTAAAGAGAGAGAAATTTCAGCTTATGCCAAGCTGCAGCTTTTACTAACCTTTTCATTGACAACTTCCCCAGTTTCATTCAGTGGTGCTTTGGAATGTCCTTTTACTGGTTTACTCCATTCCACGAGAGGATCATGTAGAAAAGTCTTTAAGACACTAAAATTGAAACATATAATAATGATAAATTCTTTACCTCTGCAAAAAGGAATCTTACTAAAATCAATATTTAAAAATAGAATAAAGGAGGAATAGAAAGATAAGGTAATATCATAAGTTCTAGGACTATACTACATTTTAAGATAGTTTATGTGAAATTATTTTGGGGGTGTTGAGGGGGCAGGGGGAAAGGGAAGGTAAAGAAGATAGGGTAAGGG